TACTTTATAGGTGGTAATTTTTATATTTTATGGAATATATCTGTTATTTACGTTTGGATAAGAAAATTCTTCAAATGAAAGTTACTTCTAATATAATTATCTAAAATTTTTATTTAATACATAATTTCTCTAAAATGGACCGTATTCGAGATATTTGAGAAAATGTGTAAATTTCGAATTTTGAAGAAAACTCAAAAACGGATAAAGAAAAAAACATTAAATTTTAAACTTAAGGTTCATTTCGGCCTGACGTGAAATGATTATATTTTGGACAAAGTCGGAACATCTAGGGGGGTACTTTATGAGAGGCCGTTTTTATATTTTATGGAATATATCTGTTATTTATGTTTGGAGAAGAAAATTGTTCAAATAAAAGTTACTTCTAATATTATTATCTATAATTTTTGATTTATGTCAAAATTTCCTGAAATGGTCCGTATTCGAGAAATTTGACAAAATGTGCAAAATTCTGATTTTTATGAAAATTGTTCAACTAAAAGTTGTTTGCGATATCGATCTCTATAGTGCTAAATTTAAATTTTTTAGTACTTTCGTTTTCAATGAATATCTATAGAAAAATGTTTCGAGGTAGATGTATGTGGACAATGTATATATTTAGTTTATCCTCTAAACATTTATAGAGATGCTGCAATAGGTTGTTCAAAATAACTGGAAAAAGCCTATTATAACTAGATAGGAATGTCATGTGTTGGACATATCAGATTTTTTTTATGAAGTCCTAAAATTCTTGACAATTTTATTAAAAATTCAAATATATTAATAAGCTTTGAGAGGATTAGTCTGTGAAGCACATATTTCTTTTATCGCGTCGTTTGGTAGCCAACACAATAAAAAATTGCTCAGAAAATGCTGAACCAGCAGAAACACACCAGTATGCATAGTCGATCGCCAGAGATTCATCTCGGCGGTATCACCAGGCGGCGACTTGCTGGAGATTATCACCGGCATCTCTCGCAAGTTTTCATGTTTTTACTTTCCTATCTGTATACAGATATAAGAAAAGTATAGGAATCATGATTTTTTTCGACCTCGAGTTTTCGACGGATTTTTACGTTTTGAGGTCCCCTGAATCCGTTTTGACTATTTTCGCGATGATGTCTGTGTGTGTGCGTGGGCGTGCGAGGGCGCGAGCGAGTGCGTGTGCGTGTGCGTGTGCGTGTGCGTGTGCGTGTGCGTGTGCGTGTGCGTGTGCGTGTGCGTGTGCGTGTGCGTGTGCGTGTGCGTGTGCGTGTGCGTGTGCGTGTGCGTGTGCGTGTGCGTGTGCATGTGCGTGTGCGTGTGCGTGTGCGTGTGTGTGTGTGTGTGTGTGTGTGTGTGTGTGTGTGTGTGTGTGTGTGTGTGTGTGTGTGTAGAAATGGTCCTCTAATGCTACTAAAAACAAGGTTAAGTTTTCATGAAAACACTGTACTTTTGACATTTGCGATATCCCGACGCATACGCATTTTTGATATAATCTCATGATTTTACAGTACTAGTTTTTTCAATTTTAAGTGTGATGCTATGACGTACAGAGCAAAACAGTATATGGGGAAAAGTAATTCTCACTGCTCAGTCAAAGAGAGGTCGTAGGTATTGTGTTCCGAGGCAGTTTACCTAGACTTGCCTATTATCCTTACTTGGGTGCAGGCCAGTTCTATCAATTAAAGTAGACGAATTTGTAACTGTATATTTATGGTTATGATAACAGATAAATGTGGTTTTTTAGAAAAATGTATGTTTTATTCGAATCTTTTAAACAAAATGATAGGTATTGAAATCTACAGCTGGCGTACCATTTAGATAGATATCTATCCGAGTGGTTTACAGTAAATATATACAAATATACAAGTCAATCTCGTTATATAAAAATAATAATATGTACAATTTATTTACAGGATATCCCTGAGTACTGAGGGAAATGTCTGCTAGGTTCAATCCTAGGAGTGTTTAACTAGCGTTATTTTAATAAATTAAAATATTTTAACCTGGGTGTCAAATTAGGTAATACAAACGTATGTCAATGTTTGATTCGTCTTATTTCGAGGGTGTTTGTGTCGTCCTATCAGCATCTTGGCCTCAAATGGTAAGCCTAGGTCCTATTTACTTCCGTTGTATGATTTAGGTTCTATTTTAGATAACTGCGGTAAACGAGGTTACCTCTAGAGATGTAAATGGTAACTGGGTATCTAGTAGTAGTATCCAACAGTTGATTCTACAAATAAAACTAACTCGTCTTAAAGTAATGTCCAGATATATGAATAAGATCCACCACCAGAATACGAAATGGCAAACGAAAAGCGTAAGTTAAGAAAGAAAAAGGAGAAAGGAAAAAGGCCTGAAATATACAAAACACTAGTTTAGTTATACAATTGAATATTAGGAAATGAAAATAAGTGGTGGTTTAAGATTTTACGTTACCTGAAGATGAAATGTGGCCTTATTTAATGTGAGTTATTTAGTTTATTGAAAACCAAATCCTTTTACGAGTTTACTTAAGTTACCTACCAACGGTATAAGTAATTATGTTTTCAATTGATTTCTTTTCTAGCACATGAATCCTTTAAAAAAGTTCCTCGAAAGCACATGCTACTTGAAGGTGTACCAGAAAAGTAATGATAGCAGGATATGCATAAAACAAGTTAAAATTACCACAGGAGATGATATTAAATCATGTCAGGTAACATAAAAATATATACATAGCTAATTTCTCACAAAACTAATTCTAAGAATTTCCAGATTATCTGGGGTTTTAATTATTGAATTTTCCAAAATATAAAACAGCTGTCTAAAGTGAATGACATAATGTTAGAATAAATGTAAATAAACAGAAGAAAATAAACCTGAAACCATTCATCTAATTGAAATCGTTTTTATTTTTTCTTAGACTTCTAGAACCTAACTACAAACTAATTTAGAAAACAATGGATAATATATCTACAGAGGACCAGAACGAATCTTCAAAACAAGAAAGAAATACTTAATAAAAGGTTAAACTTCTACAATTTCCAATTTGACAATGAACTTATAAAAGGTATCTTTTCATTCTAGTTAACTCACAGAACATGAGAAATGGATCTCCTATTAAACTTCTACCCAAAACGGAGTATACGGAGTGATCTTTTAATAGATTTTATTCCTATTATGCTTAAATAATAAATTAAAGTAAATTAAAAGTTAAATGTCAATACTATATATATTATTTTTGTGGCAAAAGCATCCCAGTACATTCATATGGATTTTGAAACGTAACAGTGATTTTAAGGTCATTACGGTTATTCATTTTGTTTGGTTCTGAGATCTCTATCTTTTATATTTATAGTTATAGTTCTTAATTTGAATTTTAATTGTGTGGTCTATTTATATTTGATTGCTGCTTCTCGATTAGTGTTTTGTTGTTTTTGTGTTTAAATAAGCTTCATAACTATTAAGTACCTGCTTCTGGTTGATATATACCTAATCGTTATCGGGTTCTTGCAACAATGGGAAAAAGTCTATTGCTTTTTGGTGTAAAAGTTGGACGCCTTAATTTTTCAGGTAATGATGACTAGTTATTTTTTTATTTAAAAGGATAGCAAAACGTCCTGGATCGAGGTGCGTCTCTTGGGTTTTAGCTATCTTTCGGCTAAGTGTCTTCCCTTTGGGCACCCAGAACCGAAAACTATGTATGTGTACGTAAAGAGATCTATTGTTTCTATCAGATTCAACACTCTCCATTAGATCCTTCTTGAAAAAAAGCCTCAGACTATCTGAAATTTAATTTTACCAAATTTATATATTAATTTGTCTATTACAAATGTTTTTTGGATTTGGATTTTGGATTACTTTTATTAACAAAGACTGGCGTTCCATTTTAAATATAAATATACAGTTCACTGGGAAAAGATTATTTAAATATACACCGATCGGAAAAACAAGTACGAAAAAATTCACTGGCTCCTGGACTAGTACTGTATCGAAAGAATTTTATGAATGAAGCAAATTACGACCCTACTTACAGATACAACAATAACGGTCAAATCTAGTTACGCTGTTGTCAGACGTATTTTTTTTTTTTTTTTATAATTTGAAGGACTTAATAGTATTGCAAGCAAACGTAATTACATTACTACAGTTAAAAATATGTCTTTGTTATATATCTATGATTGTAACTCTGCTCTAATAGTTATCCTATCCATACGTCGTAAAAATAAGTTCACTTGCTTTTAATATCTCCTCGAATACTGAGTATTTTTCTCTTTAAAACATAATAAAAAAAGTTTTCGATGAAATTAAATTTCTTTCTTCATATAAACGCGGTTAAACAAACTGCATTTAACCTTTTGAACTGTGATTGAAACACATTTTCGCAAATGTCCTACACTTTAACTAGTTCCATATATGAGGAAAATCTTTCTTTAATAACCACTCGTGACAAAACAAATTTGGCGTAGCTACAGCGAAACGACAAAAGTTCGACTAAAGCAGATAAAACGAAGTGCGCTGCCACTTGAAAGGACAACTTTTAAGCGGAAGCTAATTTTGGTGAAAGCGCCAGGTCAACTCTCTCGAGGCAATAACTGTTAAGGGGACAATGTCAGAAAACAGGGCGATAATAGAGGAACATTTCATTGTGCATAAACGGGGGATTTTTTTCATTATTCGGAGGGATATAATAGAAAAGTTTCGAGTTAAAAAAAATACTTTAATTTTAAATCGTGTACAATAAATAACTCTGCTTTAGCGTCTAATTTACTAATGTAATAATTAATTGTAATAATTCTAAGACAAAAATATAAACATTTAAGCTGTCGATTAGCTTGTTGAATTACAGAAGTAATCCAGCTTTTTTAGTTACCATGATTCTGAGATAATTTATTGCTTATTCAAAAAAATAATTTGGAAAGAAATTAAAGTGATCCACAGGGAAAACTTCTAGCTTCTTTATTTGTACACTTGTGACATCTTTTAACGGTAACGTTTTACACTGCAATCCTGGCAGTTGACCGGAATAATACACATACCTCGAAAAAACTCGAAAACACCTCCAAATCCGATTACTATTGCAACTGGCAGTGTGGAAAGCGCCCAAACGAGGGGCGTATTGAATAACTCCTCTCTTGGGTATGCCCCCACATCCCCAGCCTTGCAAACTGCTACAAAAACTCGCATAAATAACCCCCCTGCTTCTTCTGAAGGTGCAATATGTAGGGTACGCATCAACAGCGACACTAGAATAAAAATAAATATTCAGAAAAATGATATTCTTAAATATGTTGCAAGTAATATTCTAGACTATGACTCTAACAGTCACACCTCAGAGGAGGAACTAAGACTAAGGCAAGAGAGAAAGGATAGACATAAAAATCTAACACATTCTCCGAACAGTCTGTTTGAGCACGAAACGAACTAGACAACAAAAAGGAAGACATAAAAACCCAGAGCAGTGAAGAACCGTTATAGAAGCAATGTAATTTTCCGGATGTTCACCTACGCAATTTACACAAGTTGCGGGAGTGTCCCTGTTTTTTTGGCAGGAGCGGGTGTGATGATCCTCGGCGCAGTTCAAACATTTGGGGGGGGGCGTCCACAATTTGCAGTGGCGCCTCCCCACGCCTGGAAATTGTGGCATTGGATGATTATCTTGGTTGACTTTCGGAGCTACCATACAGCCCTGGTGTTTTCAACCACCCTTATACGAGCCCCTTCCCATTTCAGTTGGCCCACCCATTGATATTTTCTTTATATAACGACAATAAGAAAGTATTAAAGATTACATACTTTTTTAAATCATAAATTAATTACCAATGCATCAATTTAGAATTATATTAGAACTAGAACTAGAAAACATCAATTTTTTTTAATTATTTTTAAATTTATTACCACATGGAGCATTATTGCATTATTTCAACTTGATTTTAATTCGTTAGAAAATAAATCAAAATCGAAGGTAGCTTTGAAAAAATAACAAACAATAATGCAAATAACTGTCACAAGACAATATAACCTCTTTTAAGCTAATTCTGTCTAATAAAATGGGAAGAGGAAAAATCATTGACGAAAAACTAAGTTTTCTTGTTATAAAACATTGCAATTCTGGAAAATCGAACTCGAAAATTGCAAATATATTAGATTTATCACGATATAGTGTAAGAAATATAGTTAAAAGATACAAAACTACTGGTTCAATCAGCCCAAAGCCCCGTCATGTTAGAAAAAGCAAGATTACAAATGCCGATAGACGAGCATTGAAGAATTATTGAACCCAACCGTCGTGCTAATTACCTTGAATTAAGTGCTCAGTGGAGTGATGCTGTTGGAAGACGAATTTAGAGATTTTCATGTCATAGAGAAGCTCGCAAACTGGGATTTGGGACATACAAATTAAGTTTATAATAATAAAAACAATAAAAAACATGGATTGAAGAGGGTTTCAATTTATTTGATTGATAGCTGGTTAAACTAAACTAAAACAATCAAATATATTTGCTTAAAATTGACAATATTGTTACAGGTTAAATAAAAACCACTACTAACTGCGAAACAGAAAAAAATCGATTAAGATGGGCAAAAGAACATATGAGTTGGACTTCTCATCAATGGGATGCAATACAATGGAGTGACGAAGCCCGATTCGAAGTTTGTGTTGAAGATAGCAGAAGTCGAGTTATTCGCAAAAAACATGAAGCCTTCCATCCAGACTGTCTCAAAAGAAAAGTAAAATTTTCCGCATCGGTCATGGTCTGGGGCAGCATGTCATCTAAAGGAATAGGGAAACTGCATTTTATTGAAGGAATTGTAAATACAAATAAATATTTGGACATTTTGGAGGAATCACTTTTACCGACTATGGAATTATATTTGACATCAGGGAAAGATTTTGTATTTCAACAGGATGGAGCATGATGTCACACTTCAAAAAAAGCTCTGAAATGGACGGAAAACTTCGGTGTTTCACTTTTGGAATGGGTTTCTAGTAGTCCTGATTTATCACCAATAGAAACATTGTGGCATGAGATGAAAAAGGTACTTCGAAAACATCCTGCAAGAACAATACCTGAACTTAAACAAAAACTTCAAGATATATGGGATTCGTTTACACCAGAATTTTGCCAAGGCTTAGTTAATACCATCCCGCAAAGAATTTCAGCTGCAATAAAAAAGGTGACGTTACTCAATTGTAAACTTTAAAATTTATTAACGTTTGATTCCAACTATTTGTTTATTTTTTTTAATTTTATGTTAAATAAATATTTTAATGTTTTCTACATATTTTTTGTGGTTAAACCATATTAAACATATTGTTCAATGAATAAAAATTGGAAAGTTCATGCAATATTTATATTTTTAATCTTTAAATACGAATTTACTAAATTTCAATAGTTGGTCCAACTGAAATGGGAAGGGGCTCGTACACTCTGCACAAAAATTAAAAGTGACAAAAAGTTTTTCTTTGATTTTTCGATATATTTAAGTATTGGGACACTCTGTATATTAGTTTTGGATACTTACATGAAAAAAAAAAAATATATCGCGACGAATTGAGAACCTCCTCCTTTTTTGAAGTCGGTTAAAATGGATGAGTTTTTTATGTGTAAATGTTTTTGTAAAATAAATACTAATACTTTGAAATTGTAACCAATTTTCGGGATTAGTTGCTTTCAATATTTAGTAAAATTAACTTAGTTTTTGTAGTATTTAATTTTTTAAATTATTGAAATAAATAATCCTGACCGCCAGAGAAGAAATTTGGGACATGACGAAGTGGTTAGAATCATTACATTACTTAAAGAAGGACGTAGTCAACGTTACATTGCAAATGCTTTTGATGTTCAACAATCAACAGTTTCTAGGAGAGCTGCCCGGTTTAGAGAAACAGGGCAGTACGATAAAATGCTTGACCAAGGTCGTCCAAGGGTTGCCACAGCAGCGGACACCCGATTTTTAACATTAACTGCTCTTCGAATTAGACACTACATCTGGAGTTTGATCTCGATGTGGATAATACATCTAAACTACGTGAGTAGTTTAGATGTTATTGTTTTCCAGTGGGTTAACCATGCTCTTCTATTATTATTTTTGAAAAAGTTGAATGTTTTACATTGCTAAATTTGACGAAGAAGCCTCCTTAGCCGCACAGTCGGTTGCCTCGTTGCCTGGTATATTCTTATGTGATGGTATCCAAATCACTGTTATGGATACTCATTGCGCGATGAGAAGATGACAGAATTCATGTATTGTCTGAAACACAGAATTTTGTGAGGAACAATTTTTTATTGACACGACATCGTGTTTATTTTAACAGATTTTACAGCTTGGTAGATGCCGAACATTTCGCCGGTTCGAACACTGGCAAAATGTGGAAGAAGATTTTTAGAGACAATATTAAGGCCAGAGATCACAGAGCATCTGTGTATAGGATGGTGTCGAATTGGGAAGAATTTAATAATTCTAGAGAAGCTTGTTTTTGAAAGTTACTTTGAGTTTCGTTTTTAAGGGCATGAGCTAGAGTGGTATTAAAAAATGGTAGAAATTTGTTCCATTGCGGCATAGGAGATATAGGAATTGCAGTTGTTTGAGATAATTCGATATCAGCGAGAAGTGGAGTGTAACCGTGGACGTTCGAATATGTTGCATTAATTAAGGAATATGCTGGGTTTTTAGGATTTGCTGAAACCCTTGTACAGTAGGTAAGAAGAAGCTGTTGTCGCCTCAGCTAGAGAGGTGGTTTGTTAGTATCACAGCATAAACTTTTAGAGGGGCAGGATCTAAAAGATCCAATGGATATTCTTAATGCAGAATTTTGAACAGAATTCAGAGTTTTTAGAACAGATTAGTTGCCGACATAAAGATGAAGCTTCCGTAATCTATCTTGGATCTAATTAGTGCCCTGTACACCTTGAGTAAAACTTCTTCTTTTGCTTCCCATTGATGGTGAGATATCGATTTCATAATATTAAGTCTGTTTAGACAGTTATTTTTCAATTCGCAGAGGTGTTTCTTCCAGTTAAATTTGCTGTCAAAAATTAGTCCCAAGATCTTGTGATGGTTCAAAGAAGTCTTCTGTTTATAATTTTTTTTACTAGTTTGCACATTGTGAAGCTCAAAGAAATAGGCCTGTATGAGTTTGGATCATCAGGTGGTTTTCCATATTTTTTAATTGGAAGTATTACAGCTTCTCGCTAGAGCTTGGGAAAAGATTTCCTGGTCCATATTTTATTATATAATTGTAGAAGTTTGGTGAGTCCTGAGGATGGCAAATTCTTAAAGAAAAACAAATGGAATATTGTCGGGTCCGGCAGCTGAATTTTTGCATGTAGAGAGAGTATCAGGAAGTTCGTGTAAATTAAAAGGGAGATTAAAGATTTGGAGTCTGCATCAGACTCGGAAGGGCAGATGTAATTGAGGTAGAAAGTATGTTTCCTTGCTTGTGGAAGTTTTCAGCAATTATGTTAACTATTGCTTGGCTATCAGTTGCTACGTTATCATTACATAGTAATCCTGGAATGTTTATTTCAGATCTATTTTCCAGCATACGTCTGATTTTATTCCATACTTCACTAGGAGGGTTATCAGATGTAATTGAGGATACATAGTTATTCTAGGATTCTTTTTTGCACTGCTTTAGAATACGTTTCGCACTGGCATTTAGTTTTTTAAAGTTGATGAGCTTTTCTTGTGTTCTAGCTCTACGGTATATGTTTAATGTTGTTTTGCATTCCTGAACAGATGTAGCAGATTTGTCATTCCACTAAGTAACTGATTTTTGGGTTACTAGAGATTGCAAATTTTCCTATGAATATTTCAGCAGCAGCAGTCATACAGCTTCATCAAAAGTTTTGGAGAGTTAGTATTAAGTTATATGGTTGTCAATGTGTGATCTGAATCCTTCTCAATTGGTACCAGCAATTTTCCATTTAATTATATTATCCTTGAGATAGAGGAAATAATAATAGGAAAGTGGTTGCTATGGTAGAGGCACTCTGATGTCTCCCAGAAAAGGGAGGAGATAGTTTTAGGATCAGACAGACTTAGATGAATATTTTAATATACATGACATATTTCTATGTTCCGATAACAATTTTTCTATGGTAAAGTGTCATATATCTCCAGCAGGCTTCTATAAATAGTACGATATAGTTTAGTTTACATCCCAGATACTAATATCGGTAAATATTTATTTAATAACTTTATGATATAGGTACATACCTAACATAAACACAAATATTTA